CATGGGGCAGCTTGTGGGGACGCTGCTGGAGCCCAGGGGGGTGCCATGGGGCAGGTCATGGGGACGCTGATGGAGCCCAGGGTGGTGCCATGGGGCAGGGGAACGGGTCATGGAGACACTGCTGGAGCCTAGGGGGGTGCCATGGGGCAGGTTGTGGGGACACTGCTGGAGCCCAGGGGGGTGCCATGGGGCAGGCTGTGGGGACACTGATGGAGCCCAGGGGGGTGCCATGGGGCAGGCTGTGGGGACACTGATGGAGCCCAGAGTGGTGCCATGGGGCAGGGGAACGGGTCGTGGGACACTGATGGAGCCCAGGGGGGTGCCATGGGGCAGGTTGTGGGGACACTGATGGAGCCCAGGGTGGTGCCATGGGGCAGGTTGTGGGGACACTGATGGAGCCCAGGGTAGTGCCATGGGGCAGGTTGTGGGGACACTGATGGAGCCCAGGGTGGTGCCATGGGGCAGGTTGTGGGGACACTGATGGAGCCCAGGGTAGTGCCATGGGGCAGGTTGTGGGGACACTGATGGAGCCCACGGGGGTGCCACGGGGCAGCTTGTGGGGACGCTGATGGAGCCCAGGGGGGTGCCATGGGGCAGGTTGTGGGGACTCTGATGGAGCCCAGGGTGGTGCCATGGGGCAGGGGGCAGGTCATGGGGACACTGCTGGAGCCCAGGGGGGTGCCATGGGGCAGGTCGAGGGGACACTGCTGGAGCCCAGGGGGATGCCACGGGGCAGATCATGGGGACACTGATGGAGCCCAGGCTGGTGCCATGGGGCAGGCTGTGGGGACACTGATGCTACCCAGGGGGGTGCCATGGGGCAGGCTGTGGGGACACTGATGCTACCCAGGGGGGTGCCATGGGGCAGGCTGTGGGGACACTGATGCTACCCAGGGGGGTGCCATGGGGCAGGCTGTGGGGACACTGATGGAGCCCAGGGGGGTGCCATGGGGCAGGGGAACAGGTCGTGGGGACACTGATGGAGCCCAGGGGGGTGCCATGGGGCAGGGGGCAGATCATGGGGACAGTGGTGGAGCTCGGGGTGGTGCCATGGGGCAGGGGGCAGGTTGTGGGGACACTGATGGAGCCCAGGGGGGTGCCATGGGGCAGGGGAACAGGTCGTGGGGACACTGATGGAGCCCAGGGGGGTGCCATGGGGCAGGGTGTGGGGACACTGATGGAGCCCAGGCTGGTGCCATGGGGCAGGAGAGGACTACTGAGCTGTGGCACGCTCCATGGCATGCTGTATGGCACACTGTGTGGCACGCTCCATGCCATGTACCATTGCAGATTGCATGGCACACTCTGTAGCACACTTCATGGCACACGCCATGGCAGATTTCATGGCATGCTTCGTGGCACACTGTGTGGCACGCTCCATGATACATTCCCTGGCACGCTCCATGGCACACACCATGGCAGATTCTACAGCACACACCATGGCACTGTCTGTGGCACAGTCCCTGGCACACACCATGGCACACTCCATGGCAGATTCCATGGCACATTCCCAGGTGAACTCTGTGGCAGACTCCATGGCACACACCGTGGCACACTCCATGGCACACTCCCTAGCACACTCCATGGCACACTCCATGGCACACATCATGGCACACATCATGGCACACACCATGGCACACTCCATTGGCAGATTCCATGGCAGATTTCACAGCACTGTCTGTGGCACACTCCCTGGCACACTCCATGGCACACACTGTGGCACACTCCATGGCACACTAGGGCAGATTCCATGGCAAAATTCCTGGCATATTCCCTGGCACACTCCATGGCACACTCCATGGCATACTATGGCAGATTCCATGGCAAATTCCCTGGCACACTCCCTGGCACGCTCCCCTGGCACACACATGCAGGGCACACCCAGTAGCTCCTGGCAGACCCCCCCGTGCTGTGGGCAAACCTTCACAGGTTCATGGCAGCCCCTTCCCCTCCCAGCCCCTCTCTGGCCACCTGGGTGCCACAGGCAGGGGTGGCAGTGAGAGCCCCCCCCTCACAGTCACCCCACACCGTGGCAATGAACACCCAAGTGCCCCCCCATGTGCCCCCCGTGCCACAGAAGCTCCCCGGAGCCTGGCAAGGGCTCACAGCCCAACGAGGTGGAGAAGACATGGGATGAAACCCCTTCCTCTGCCCATGTCCATGGTTGGGGACATGGTTGGGGACACGGCTGGGGACACGTGGAGACCCCGTGTCCTGGGGCAAAGCGTTGTGCCAAGGGGTGCTGTGCCAGGGGGTGGGGGCCCACAGCCTCAGCCTCCCCCCTCTCCCCCAGGTCTGGTTCTCCAACCGCAGGGCGAAGTGGCGGCGAGAGGCCAAGCAGCAGCTGGAGGCTGGAGGTGCAGGTGACAGCCCGGGCTTGGAGGGGACAGGGATGGGGTGCAGGGGCCACCCGGGGAGGGAGGGAGGCTGAAATTTGGACACCCGGGGTCGGTCCCCCCAAAATCAGGGCAGGGGACTGGCGTGGCCCCAGAGCCGGGGTGCTGCCCGCCCCACTTCTCCCCACACAGGCTCCTGGTGCGACTGGATGCTGCCCCACGGGGCGGCTGTGGCTGCTTTCCTCCCCCCCACCGTGACAGCCTCCACTTCCACACAGGTAGGAGATGGTGGGGGGCCATGGGGGGGGTCTCACCAGCACCCCCCAGGCTCCGGGCACCCTCTGGAGCCCACGCTCCCATTGCCAGGCTGCTCTCAGCCCAGGTCTGCTCCCAAAGCATCCCCATGGATGCCCTGTGACATCCCACACTCTGTTTGCCCCCCCCCTGCCCAGCACCTCCTGGACACCCCCACCAGCTCACCGCAGCCCCTCCACGGTCACGGTCATGGTCATGGTCACAGCCCCCCAGCTCCCCTGCACCTCTGCACCTCCGCCCCCCGCGCCTGGGACGACGCCTGCTGTGGTAAAAGGACTGGGATGGGGGGGCTGGGACCCCGGGGGGGGGCACAACCAGGGTGGGAGCCGGCAGTGGGGTGTGGGACCCCACGGGGTGCTGAATGGTGCAGGGAGCCGTCCCCCCCCAACCCCACAGCGATGGGGAGTGGGGGGTATGGGATGGGTGTCCCCTGCCCCACGGCAGAGGGATGGGGGGGATGCTCCCCAGCCCCATCCCCTGCCTGAACCCCGTTTCCATCCCGCAGACCTGGCCCCCGGCGGCAGCCCCCCTCCGGCTCCCTGGCCGCCCCCCTTTGCCCTGCTGCCCCCCCGGGCTCACCTGCACCCCACTGCCAGCCTGCTGAGCCCCCCACCGTTCCACCCCAGCTCCCCGGAGCCCCTCGCCCACCTCCACGCAGCGGGGTGGCCCTGGCTCTGAGGGTCCCCAGCAAGGGGGGGGGGGGCTCCGGGGCAGTGGGTTGAGGATGTCCATGCAGGGGTGACAGTCGGGCCACCATCAGCTCACCATCTGGACCCCCCCTTCACCCTCCCAGGAGCTCCCAGGACCCTCCCAGGTCCATGGGGCAGAGGAGGTGGGTGCTTGGGGGAAAAACCTCCCTTTCCTCCCCCCCCCTTCCAAGGACCCCCTCTAATCCCATCCAGCATTTTTAGCCTGGCTCTGGCCAGGGCACAGTATGGCCAGGGCAGCTCCCCAAAGTGCCCCCCCACTCACAGTGGGGTGATGCCCCCCCCCTGCATCCATCCCAGCGGGATTTTTGCCACCCCCAAGGCAGGAAAGCTCCGTGCTGGGCTTTGTCCGGCCACCGGCCTCTTCCTCCGCTGCCTCAGGTGGCTTGTGGGGACCAGGGCCACCACCCCATCCCTGAGGGTGTGGGGGGTGGCGGGCAGTGGGAGCTGAGCACTTTGGGGACCCTCTCATCACCCCGGAGCACTTGTCACCATCCCCAGTGCCGTGTCCCCTGTCCCACACTGCAGACGGGGGGGCAGTGTCCCTGCCCCCCTTCCCTGCTGCACCCCCCAATTAGCATCCCTCCATCCTGCCCAAGCTCCCCCCACCCTCCTCCTCCCTTCTATTTATAATAGCATTAAATTACCCTGGGAATAGTTAATTAACCACTGGGGGGGGGAGGAATAGTCAATGCCCACGCTCCCACCCACCCCATGCTGCGGGTGCTGCTGGGCAGGGGGATGTGGGACAGTGGGGGGGACCCCCTGGTTGGAGACCCCTTCTCCTGCCTGCCGGGCTCCAGGAGCACCGGGGGGGACCCCGCTGGCAAATGGGGGCTTTTCCTGGTGCCTCCAGAAAAACCTCTAGCCCGGAGGGGGCTCTGCTAGCCAGGATGCTGGGGAGTCTCCGGAGCCGGGGGACCAGGGGGTGTACAGGATGGGCAAGCAGGAAAAACACTCACCGTGGCTATTGTGCCCCCCCCGGCCATTGCCCATGGCTGTGGGCAACCCCCCCGGTGCCGATGGCTTCAGCACAGCCCCATGGGGAGCCGTGTGGCCAGCGGGCAGGACCGGGTGGCACAGCCAGGACCAGCTCCAGCCGTCCCACATCCCACGCTGGCCCCTCCACCGTCACCCCACAGAGCCCCCCGGGCCCACCCCGGGGCAGAATCTTCCTCTAAATAAAAAGTTTTAGGGGTTTTTTTGTTTGTTTGTGTAGAAATGGAAGGTAAAGGTGGAGGCAGGGGAGAGGCGCCCGGCACCGAGCTGAAAATATGGTTTTATTGGAAGGAAAATGGTTGTTTCCTTCAGCCAAAGGAAACCAAAGGGCAGGGGGGGGGACACGCTCAGCCCGAGGTGAGGGCTTTCCCCCCTTTGTGGGGCCTGGTGGTCACTGGTCACCATCCCCACTTGCCCACAGCCCCTGGCCGGGAGCCCAGCCTCTCTGAGGGCAGCCCATGGAGCCCCTCTCCCCTCCAAACATTAGCCTCCAGCTTAGTTTGTGTCTTTTTACACAAGAAAAAAAAGCACTTCTATAAGAGAAAAATGTTCTCCGAGTGAGACACCATCCCAGGAGTACCTTGTCCCGAGCCTTCAGTCCTGGGGGACACCGATGGGGGACACCACTGGAGGGTCTTGCTCACCTGCACCCAACAACGGGGTGGCAGCACCAGCCCAGGTCCCATCTTGGCCATCCGTCTGTCCTGGCCACTGTCTGAGCATCCCGGGACCAGGGATGAGACTTGGCAAACTCGTGGCATGTGCTACTGACCAGCTTCTGGGAATGGGGACATCTCCGGTGTCGGAGACGACTCGTAAGACAGAACTGAGCAGGGATGCCCTGGGCCACCCCGAGCCCGCCCTGGGCTGCAGCTCCCTCTGCCCGTGCGATGCCGTGGGCCACCGGGCACCCGGCACAGCCGGGGCTGCAAACACCGGGCACGGTCCCCAGGCAGCTCCACCACACACACGGAGCCCCCGGCAGCGGGATTTCAGCCCTGGGGACAGGGATGGGGACAGGACAGTGGCAGGAGCCTTTTCCTTCCACAAACGTGGAGCGACTTGGGTGGGTTTGGTGTATTTTTGGGGGGGGCTGCAGGAGGCCGGGTGCCACCGTCACCAGTCCCCAGACCCTGCAGCACCATGCGGCGGCAGAGCCACAGCTCACTCCCAGCCCTCAAAAACATTAAAAACTGAAATTGCTGGAGTGGCTGGAAGAGAGGGGGTTGCTGGTGGGGACTCTGCCACCGATGTGCCCACCGGCACGGTGCAGGACCCTGTTTGGGGGGGCTGTTGTGGGGCACCCGAAATGCTGCGGGGCACGGGGACCCTGCAGGAGCCAGCCCTTGGGGTGCCTGGCCGTGGGGAGGGGGTGCAGGGCAGAGCCCCCCCAGGCTTTGGCAGCAAAGAAAGCCCTCACTGGCCACTGTGGCGTAGTGGGGGGCTCCTTCCCTGGCTTGGGGGGCAGCCGGGGTGTTCACCCCCCTTTGTCGTGGCAGGGCAATGCCCAGGGCACAGGCAGGTTTTGCAAACCCCTCCTGGAGAAGCAAATGGGCAGCAAGATCTCCTGCCTGCTCCTGCCTGCTCCCCTGCCTGCTCCCCTGCATGCTCCTGCCTGCTCCTGCCTGCTCCGCTGCCTGCTCCTGCCTGCTCCTGCCTGCTCCCCTGCCTGCTCCCCTGCCTGCTCTCCTGCCTGCTCCTGCCTGCTCTCCCCTCCCCTGCTCTTGCCTCTTCCCCTGCCTGCTCCTGCCTGCTCTCCTGCCTGCTCTCCTGCCTGCTCCTGCCTGTTCCCCTGCCTGCTCTCCTGCCTGCTCCCCTGCCTGCTCCCCTGCCTGCTCTCCTGCCTGCTCCCTTGCATGTTCCCCTGCCTGCTCCTGCCTGCTCTCCCTGCCTGCTCCCCTGCCTGCTCCCCTGCCTGCTCCTGCCTGCTCCTGCCCGCTCCCCTGCCTGCTCTCCTGCCTGCTCCCCTGCCTGCTCCCCTACCTGCTCTCCCTGCCTGCTCCTGCCTTCTCCTGCCTGCTCCCCTGCCTGTTCCTGCCTGTTCCTGCCTCTTCCCCTGCCTCCTCCTGCCTGTTCTCCTGCCTGCTCTCCCTGCCCGTTCCTGCCTGCTCCTGCCTCCTCTCCTGCCTGCTCCTGCCTGCTCCCCTGCCTGCTCTCCTGCCTGTTCCCCTGCCTGCTCCCCTGCCTGCTTCCCTCCTGCCTGCTCTCCTGCCTGTTCTCCTGCCTGCTCCCCTGCCTGCTCCTGCCTATTCCTGCCTGCTCCTACCTGTTCCCCTGCCTGCTTTCCTGCCTGCTCTCATGCCTGCTCCTGCCTGCTCCTGCCTGCTCCCCTGCCTGCTCCCTTGTCTGTTCCCCTGCCTGCTCCCCTGCCTGCTCTCCTGCCTGCTCCCCTGCCTCCAGGATCCCCCAGGATCACTGACAGCGGGGACATCAGCATGGCCAAGGGGACGTGTCCTGGCCCCACGGCTGGAGGAGAGGGGACTCGGGCAGAGCTGGGCACCCACTGGTGGCCACGGCCGTGGGGAGCCATCGGGGCAGAGCGGGGCTGCAAAGGGCACAATGACAGGCAGAGCCCTGGGCTGCTGGCTGGGAGGTGGCCGTGGCCGGTGCCAAAGGGACGCCCCAGGGCCTTACAGCTGGCATTTCCAAGGCACGGCTCGTCTCAGCCCTGAGGGTGATGGCCAGGCCAGGCTGGAGGAACTGGTGCTAAATGGGGCATTAAATGATCTGCAGAGAGTGGCCGTCCCTTTGTCCCCCGGCTCGCTGAGAGCAGGGCTCCAGCCCTGCAGTGCCTGTGTTGGACATCAAGCTGAGGTTCCACACCACGCTGTCCCCAGGGAGATGGGGGGTACAGCTGTCCCCAGGGAGATGGGGGGTACAGCTGTCCCCAGCGCTGGCAGGACCATGCATGACCCAGGGGAGGGAGCCTGGCTTGTGTCAGGACCAGTGTGGCCAGCAGGACTGGGGCAGTGACCGTCCTACTGGACTGGACACTGGTGAGGCTCCACCTCGAAGGCTGGGTCCAGTTTTGGGGCCCTCATGACAGGAAAGACCTTGAGGGACTTGGAGCAGGCCCAGAGAAGGGCAACAGAGCTGGGGAGGGGGCTGGAGACCAAGGAGAAGGGTCTGGAGAACTTCTGAGGGAGCTGGGGGGGTTCAGCCTGGAGAAAAGGAGGCTGAGGGGAGACCTTCTCGCTCTCTCCAACTCCCTGAAAGGAGGGGGCAGCCAGGGGGGGTCGGTCTCTTCTCCCAAGGAACAGGCCATGGGACAAGAGGAAATGGCCTCAAATTGCCCCAAGTGAGGTTTAGGATAGAGATTGGGGAAAATGTCCTCCCCAAAAGGGTTGTGAAGCCTTGGCAGAGGCTGCCCAGGGCAGTGGTGGAGTCCCCATCCCTGGAGGGATTTCAAAGCCGGGCAGACGTGGTGCTGAGGGACACGGGTCAGTGGTGGGTTTGGCAGTGCTGGGTCCATGGTTGGACTCCATGATCTGAAAGGTCCCTTCCAACCCGGACAATGCTATAATTCTGTGATTCTATGGGATATGGCTTCTCCCAGCCCTTTCTCAGTCCCCGAGGACTCTCTGCCTATGCTGTAAATCAAGCCGTGTGGGATGGAGCTGTGCTACAACGGCCGTGTCTTAACCCCCAGCTTCCACCACGGGGCCACCTCGGGTGCCTCTGCCTCTTCTCCAGCCTGGGCTTCCCATGCTCTGCCCGTGGTGGCCCCGCTCTCAGGGTCTTGGCACCATGAGCAATCCCAGCCCCAAGCCAGCACCAGTCTGGGTGGTGGTGCTGTGCCCCACAGCCAAGTGCTCCGGGCAAACCTTGCACCAAAGCACCCAGGAACCCCCCGTCCCATCCTGTCCCCCCACTTTCCACCACCAAAGGGCAACAACCCACATCAGCTCTGGTGGCAGAGTCGGGGCTCTGGGACCTTGCGAGCTCTGCCCTCAGGCTTCAGCAGCCCCCCAGCCTCCAGCAGCCCCCCAGCAGCCCCCCAGCCTCCAGCAGCCCCCCAGCAACCCCCCAGCAGCCCCCCAGAGGGAAGGGGCAATCAGAGGACCAGCCCCAACTCTGCCACCAGAGCGGGGTGGGTCTGGGTCCCCCCTTCTCTCGCTCCCTGGGCTGGGGAAGGACCCAGCTCCCTGGCCCTGACCCCCACTGCCCCCCTCGCTCCCTGGCCAGGCCCCCCCGGGCTGGGTGGAAGCCCCCCAGCACTGAGCACCCACCTGAAGCGTTACAGGGGGACAGCCAGGGTGTCCCCACAGGGACAGAGTTGGGGGGACAGCCAGTAACCCTGCAGGGGACAGACTGGGGGGGCAGCCAGCACATCCCCATAAGGACAGACTGGGGCGACAGCCAGCACATTCCTACAACAACAGTCTTGGGGACAGCCTGTGTAACCCTGCAGGGGACAGTCTGGGGGGGACAGCCAGCACACCCCCATAGGGACAGACTGGGGGGACAGCCAGCACATTCCTACAATGACAGCCTTGGGGACAGCCAGTGTAATCCTGCAGAGATAGCCTTGGGGACAGCCAGGGCATCCCCACAGGGATAGAGTGGGGGGACAGTCAGGGCATCCCCACAGGGACAGCCTGGAGGGGGGACAGCCTTTGGGACAGGCAATGTAACCCCACAAGGACAGATTGGGGGGACAACCAGGGCATCCCCACAGGGACAGCCTTGGGGACAGCCAGCGTAACCCTGCGGGGACAACCTGGGGGGGACCAGGCAGGACATCCCTATGGGGACAGCCTCGGGGGGGACAGCCCTTGTAAACCCACAGGGACAGCCTGGGGAGAGCCAGAACACCCCCACAGGGACAGACTGGGGGGACAACCAGCACACCCCCACAGGGACAGACTGGGGGGACAGCCAGCACATCCCTGTGATGACAGCCTTGGGGACAGGCAGTGTAACCCTGCAGGGACAGCCTGAGGGGGAGAAAGTCCATGTAACCCCACAAGGACAGCCTGGAGGGGGGACAGCCAGGGCATCTTTTCAGGGCTGGCCTTTGGGGACAGCCAGCACATCCCCATAGGGACAGCCTGGGGGGTACAGCCAGTGTAACCCCGCAGGGACAGCCTGGGGGGGACAGCCATGTCATCCCCCCCAGCCAGGACCAGTCTGCTCCCTCTTCTCCCAGTGCCCTCCGCTCAGCCCCTCAATGCCAGAGCACGGCCGCCCTGGGGCTGGGCTTTGCCCAGTCCCACTAATTAACAACCCAATTAGCGTTCCTGCAGCAGGTGGCCTGAGCTGACCCCGCAGGGCTTTTTTCCCCCAGCCCAGGCACCGTGGGGAGCCAGCACCCACCCCGACAGCACCCTGGGGTGGCTGGAAAACAGGCTACCCCCCCCTCCCTGCACCAGGGAATGAGGATATCAGCTTGAAAACACATCTGGGAGCCTCTGCCCACCCCCTCTGCCCCCCCCACCCCCAGCACAGCATCCGGGGGGGCTTTATTCCGACCCGGATCCCCCGAGCCCAGAGACTCTGGTGGAAGATGCTCGTTGGGGAGGGGGGCTCCCCGGTGGCCCCCGCCACCAGCCAGAAAGGTGCCGGGCGCAGGGTACAAAGTGGTGGAGTTTTAATTACTCGATGTACAACAGCACGTCACGCAGCCATACGCGCCCCC